TATCATTATAAATTACACTTGGTACCTCCACTGCCAACCATATGGTCTTGGCAGAACTGATAAAACCTGATCCTTCCACCTAAGGACTCTCCCACAAAAGATTTCATGATGGAAGCCCACTTTTGCAACGTATTGGTCTCAGGAGTACACATTCTTCAACTTCCAAGAAAGATCATCATAAGGGTTAATAATAGAAGTTAATGATGACAATAATGGTAACTATTGTGATCCATTAAATATTTAGTGAGTACCAGACAATTTGATAAGTCTTTGACATGCTTTGTTTCATTATAATTGGGAAATCAAATTTCCCATGTTGGAAATGGCCATAACGAAGTATCAATTTACAACTTGTGGTCTGCAAAAGGTCTATCGCATGGCAGCAGGGCCAGAGCAGACTATTAATGATCCACTCAAATGGCACTTTTTCTAATAATCTTCAATGGTTGGTCTATTTAAAAAAAAAAAAAAAAAAAAATTACAGTGAGGAACAATGAGCTAGAGGTATCTTTCCGAATCCACAAAATTTGTATCAACTGATTCAGGAAGGGATATGGTAGGCTTTGGCTAAGTTACACAAAGGTAATCACACCCTCAGATAATTGCACCCTCCAGCATTTCCGTGATTTAGACAATTACTTCTCATGCATGCCACACATCCATCACCTGTCAGTTGTCCCAGTGCTGCATGCCATCTTCATTCTGGAACCCCAGCTAAAGGAGAAGCCCTCCTCTGGAATATTGCCAATTTTGTGTTGCAGAGAAAAGAGAATGAGGTGGACCTCGAGAACAGGTCTTAGAGCTTCTACCCTGAAATACAGGTCACGTCCACCCACATTTCATTGGATCAAGGTGGCAGCAAATATTTTGAACAAAAATACAACATTGGAACAGGACGGGGGATGGAGAGGGTAGGGAGTAGAAAGGAGTTGGGTATTATCTTGACTTCATTTCTCTGAGTATTAGTGTCTGGCACTCGTAAAATGAAGTTAATGTGGCCAATGCTGCCACTTCCCTCACAGATTTATTCTAAGTCTCCAAGAGTACAATATACAGAAGAAGAGTTTGAAAAATCCGGAGCAGTCTGTAAGCAAAAACTATTATCACTTAATGCTGATTGTAGTACTTCCCATGCTTGGCAGATTGCATGATGTCTACAACACCACACTGTTCTTTTCTTCTTCTTAATAACTTTTAACTACACCAAGAAAGAGTTTGAGACTATTTATGCAGATTCCAAATTCAAGAAGATCATGAGTAGACCCCTAATTGCTATACTTTCCTCAGACACTGCCTCTAATTTAAGCCAATGTATCGGGAACTATTTAAGACCAACTCATTGAAAATGCCATTGCAGAGATAAAAAGCCTCAGCCGACCAGATTCATAAAACACCAAAATCCAACTAAAACTGCTTTCAAAATGGGGAATGTTGGTGCTGAGTTGGACGAGGCAAAATGAAGCGATGTCCTGTGAATTGTATCATAGCTGACAAAAGGTCTTATTATCTTCTAACGATTGACTAAGAGTTCTAATATCTTCTCTATGATGGTTTCTCTGGCAATCTCTGCAGAGCAGGAGTCTTTAATGCACCGTATCTCGGCTACTACCCTAGGAAGTTAAGAAAATTGAAAGCCTTTTGTGCTTCTTTTTCCACTGAGAGCCTGAATAGGCTTTTCAGGATAGCCTGGACAATGTGTGTAATATTTTGTTTTAATTTGCAAGGCAGTCTCGTTCATTGTGGCTTGTACAATATGGGTCATTTTCACTCCATTTATACTCAGGGTAAAAAATAACTTGCCTGAAACAGTTCATAAGTACTTACTTCTCTCTACACTCTGGTAAGACAATGTACTCAGCTTGAGAGTCCCTGGTACCCAGGTGGGCACTTGGTGACCTCTAATCTTGTCTATCAGACCATCACAGAGCATAATTCTGACAACAGAGCTGGGGCAATGACCATAAACTGCATTTAACCATAAAAGAATGGGGTAGACATAGCTTTTTGCCCACCTAAAACCACTGCCACAATCCTAAGTGGTACAGGTAAAGGACAAAGATCATTTGGTCTCAGGGAAGGTAAACCCCTACTCCAGCTCCAAGAATTGACCACAACCCAAACCAGTTACAGTCATCTCATTCCCCTTTCCCAAAAAATCAGTCTAGAGGTGAAGAGGATGTCACCCGGGTCTGTAAAATATGAGAGCAGAAACCTACTGCATAGGGACAGGGGCAGGGGGTTACAGGGAACCTTCCAGGAAGAGCTGCCTTTAAACACACAAAGAACTTCACACAGAGAAGGTCTTCAACCCATTCCCCTTCTTTCCTTGCTTGCTTGTGACACTGGTGTTAGAACACCATGCCTAGGGCTATGGCAGTCATCGGCCACCATAGGAAAATAAGCCCCAAGTCCAATGTGCTAAAGATGACAGAATAAGAGGAGAGATGGGCATTTTCTCTAAAAGAGGATATTCACTCCCTGTGCCTCCCACTAGATGGCCAGTATTTGACCCTTGCTTTACTCCTGAGTTCTATTCTTATACCACACATGGGCTCTAAACTTTGGTCATTTCTTCTTGCTGCTCTCCTCCTCTCCATGCACAAGCCTGCTGGAACTTGCAGAAAGTCTCACGATAAGAGAGAAACGACTGAAGCTTGAGCACATGACCATTACCCAAGATGGCATCGCAATGCACACTGGCCCAAGACCAGGTACGTACACTAGGCTAAAAAGAAGTACATCCCAGAAAAAAGTGATTCGGACCTAAAATCACTCAACATTATCAATAAGTAAGGCCTCACACACAAAGGGAAGACTTAACTATCACAAATGGCTTCTCACGGAGTTGATTCTATTTAAAAAAAAAAAAAAAAAAAAGGCATCGACGAGGAATGAAACAGGGTCCCAAACACCTTGCACACCAGCAATTTTCTCCCAGATTCGGCTAGGTCTCAAGAGCTAAAGGGAGTCAAGGGAGTTCTGCTAGGAGATGAGCCAGGATTCAAATTGTTTTGAGGTTCCTTCTCTCATTTTTTAACTGTTCGTAGTCTATCCCCAGAGGGAATAGTGAGTAAATTTTTTAGACCATTACCTGGCTTTCAGGATTCTTCTGTGGTAAATGAAGAGGAGAATGTTAATATTTTAAAGTTTTGAAATTATATTTTCTAACAAAAAAATAAAAAACAGCCTAAGATATAAGAAACAGATATTAATGTGAGGTACTGAAATTAATTGCATTCTGGGGCATAAGGGGTGGCTCAGTCAAGCATCTTTTTTTAAGATTTTATTTATTTGACAGAGAAAGACACAGCAAGAGAGGGAACACAAGCAGGGGGAGTGGAAGAGGGAGAAGCAGGCTTCCTGCTGAGCAGGGAGTCTGATGTGGGGCTCAATCCCAGGAGCCTGGGATCATGACCTGAGCCGAAGGCAGACGCTTAATGACTGAGCCACCCAGGCGCCCCGCATCTGACTCTTGATTTCAGCTCAGGTCATAATCTCAGGGTCGTGGGATCGTACCCCTCATTGGGCTCTGTGCTCAGTGGGGAGTCTGCTTGAGATTCTCTCTCCCTCTGCCCCTCCCCCTGTTCACACACACATGCTGATAAATAAATCTTAAAAGAAATTAATAGTGTTCTTCCTCAAAACTGACAAATAACAGAATATTGGAGGATAGATGAAAAATGGTTCATAAGCAAAAGGGCAACTTCATCCTCCCAAGTGGTGTGTTTCTTTAATCAAGTTCAAATCCATAAAAGTAAGCAAAAGGGGGGGGGGAGATGTAAAGGGGAAAGAGAAAAGACCTACTCGTTATACTGTATTGTTAATGAGAAACAAAGAAGTAGTGAAGAAAGTCTTTTTAGGAGAAATCAAAACCAGAGGCCACCCAAGTGCAGAGCACCAGTGATGATTAGACACATTTTCTTAACAACTCAAGAGGTCTTTAGTCAAAGCCAAAAAAAAAAAAAAAAATAGGCAAGGATCAATGATACAAAACAGAACGGAAAAAAATTTACCATTATCATCATGAATGGTCTTTACCTTGAGAATACCTGAGCCAATGGAGAACCAAACCAATTGGAAGAGTGTGATCAAGGTTTTGCAGCATTCATCCCATTCCAGACATCTACTTTTCGGAGTGAGAGAGCATCAAGGATCAATACATTGTTTGTGAAGATGACAGGAATGATTGGGTCCAACGAGTACACAGAAATAGCTTCCCCAACACTTTGCCTATGAGAACTTCTCTAAACTGAAGAGAGCTCCGGGGAGCACCTGACAATGGATGGGCTCAGGTACTAGGACACTACACAGAAGCAGGCGTGTGGAAGGCTCAACCACCAGCCAGGAGGAGCACTGAGCTCGGAAAGAGGCATTCATGTAAGACACAGGAGCTGTTCTGCTCTCTAGAGTTTGGAAATGGGATCACTGATGCTTGAAGCCACTAACCCCTGTAATGGCACCCCTCCAAGTGCCAAAGTTATGAGTCCATCTGTCACTATGACTTTTAGTAGAGTTTGTGAATTAGCAACTCATGAATCAGTCATTAAGAAAGCCAACTAAAAAAAAAAAAAATTCTGACCTTGGCAGGTGAAGAAAAAGGGCAGTTAGATATAAGCTAGGATTGAAGCATCATTCAAAAAGAGGATCCACCATGTAACATTTAGCTGAAATTAGGAAAGAATAATCTACTGAAGACAACAGAAAATCAGGTCTTTATGGTTTTGCTAGGGATCGTTAATTACAGTGAAAGCAGAACTTGGGATTTGATACAGCCCTACTGTTTTTGCGGCTTTGTCGTATTTCAGAACAACCTCCAAAGGTCTTGCTTTCACATGCTACTGAGAAGCCCGGAGACACGAGGAGAACAGCGCACCCTAGACGGTGGATGTAATTTCTTATAGGCTCCCAGAAGACCAGAGCCAAGTGATGGCTTTCAACCTTCAACCATGTCTACCAGGAATACACTTCTCACAAATGACTGTATTAAATAGCTTACTTACCTTCACAGTAAGCAGAATCTCCCTGGACAGAAATGTAACCATTCTTGCACTCACAGGTAGCTTTCGTATTCCAGTTTTTACACTCTGAGTTTTCACCACATTTAGGGCCTTCTGCACAGAAGTTATGACCTAGAAAAAGTGAATAAAATTTCACATCAGAAGAGAAAAAAAGCTTGCAAATCCTAGAGCATGAATTATCCTCAGTCTATCAGCTCTATGCATGAACACGTAACTTGGCAATGTGCAAGGGTGGGTTAGGAAGGGAATGGGAGAGGGGGAATGGGAAACTCTGGACTGTCGAGTGCTTGAGATGTTTTTCCTTAATGCTTAAAGTAGGTTCCATCCTGAAGGCTTTGATCCATGCTGACCCTGAATCCCCCTCCCACCACTTTCTGACATAACCAGTCTTTTTATAATTGCCTTACCACAAAATTTATGATTCATAGAAAATATGTAAAATGAATCTATGTGAATATATAAAACTAATAGGACCAGAATATTATCAGTACTCCTTAATGACACTTCCCCAAAGAGTCCCCCCTCCCAGCCATCAAAAATAACTATCCTGAATTTTTTGTTAATCCCTCCCTTGCATGTTTTCATAGCTTTGTCAGATATAGGTACTTATTTCTAAAGAGATCATTCAGTTTTTGCCTGTTTTGAACTTCCCGTGAAAGAAATCCTATTTTACATATTCTCTACTGTGTTTTTTTTCTATTCATCCCTGATAATGCCTGTAGCTATAGTTCACTCATCAATACTGTATAATATTCTGTAGCATGAATTTTCCACCATCTGTCCATTATGCTACAGATAGGCACTGAGGTGACCTGCAGGTTTTGAATCACAATGCTGCAAGAAACATCCTACAGTATGTTTCCCGGGGCATCCTTTTTAAACCACGTTTTTAACATTTATTTTCCCAACTTTCTTTCTGAATCTCAGACATTCCTCCCAGAATAACTACTTTTCTCCCTAAAAAACCCCTTTGACACTCCTTTAGTTCTCCTCCACTTCTAGACAAGGAAGGAGAAGCTCAAACTCACTGACATCTAGCTAGTAAGTAGAGGTGACAAGGTTCTAAATTAGGTCTGGTGAACTCCAAGGCCCAAGTACTTTTCACCGTAACATACATCCTCTCAGATAGCAAAACTTAGGGATTAAAAAGTGAAGGGGTTAGCTGTTCCTCAGGACATTAGAGAGTGAACCCATAGTGATAGGTGAGTGCAGTATCAGATTCAGCCTCACTACCTGTGACCTATTAACTTCCCCCAATCAAAATCAGAGCAAAAACTTAACTTGCTGGAAATCTGCAAACTCTGTCACCCAAAAACACTTCCAGGAGGGTTTTAAAGGCTTGTAATAACCATTACAAAGAAAAAGACTTGATTTTGCTACTGAAGAGACAATTTTTAGACATCACAACTCTCACTGCCAGAGAAAGTACCTGGACTTCCCTCCCCATGTCAGAATCGATCAGTAATTAAGTTGTCACGTTTTCTTTCATTGTGAAGCCTGACTCAAGGTCTCCATTATGACATGTATTCTTTGTTTCTTCTTCTTCTTTCCAGGAGACTGCAACTGTCCTTTTCCTTCCACATGCATTTGACAGGCAGGAAAAAGGCCACTCAAACAATGTTGATGTCCCAACGCATCTCTATCAAGCATGTGCCATGTCAATTCACAATGCAGGGAGTTGGGTAAATTGTATTTCAAGGACAGTGAAGGGCCCGTGGGACAAACCAACCTTAATGTCAAATCTACTTTGGTTGAGCCTGACCACTGTGCCAAAAGCATGTGTTTCATTAATTAATCCAGGCCTTCTTTCAAGCAGTATTTATTCACTGCCCGCTTGCCTTTCTGCAGGAGTGAATAATCAATATTTATGGGGCATCTAACTTCTGTGGACTAAGGCGCCATGCAAGCCTCTGGGAGCAAAATAAAATGTGTGAGACATGTTCTCTGCCCACAAGGAAAATTACAAGCTAAGGGGAGACACGCCAAATACCAGGGTAGTGTAAATATAAGGCAATTTAAGTTAAGTGAGAGATGAAGAGTATAATCAGTGTTTCAGGGAAAGAGAAAGCACTTCTAGGTGATGTAAAACTTGACCTCGGGTTCATCACAGGTAGAAACATGAGAAAGAGTGAGGCACAAATCCTACTGAAAGGAATGGGACTCCAACCCGTGAGGAAGAAGGGTGCACTGGAGAATGCCAAATAATCTGGCACAGATGTAATAATAATAATAAACATTTACTGAATACATACTATATGCCAGACACTCAGCCAAGTGTTTTACACGCATTGTCCCATTTAATTCTATTACTTAAATTAAATTAATATCTGTATTTTAAAGATGTGGCAGTTAGAGTTTGGAGAAGGTGGTTGTGGTAGGTACACGGAGCCAGAACCCAGGTCTGAGGCCAAGGTTACTCCTCACTAGGTTATTTCACTGCCCTCCCCAAAGCAACAAATTCCTAACTAAGCATTCTACATCCAAAGGATAAAGAAGATCTCCTTTTTTGCATGTGTAGATTTAAAAAGACCACAATTTGGTTTCTTCTCATTCTCAAGATCCATATCTATTTTCCGTGAGGTAATTCCAAGTATTTTTAACAAAAAATCCTAACTTCAATCACTCCAACTTCATTAAGTCAGGATCTATGGCTGACTCATTTCTCTCAACCAAAGCTTTCCACATGAGGGTAACTGGATGAATGGCTTAGAGATGGACGGACTCATCGCCAGCCAGAAATAGCGGAGGGTCAATTAATGAGTGAATGAAGAGATGAATGAATCTATAGTGGCATTTAATGCCTCTACCCCCTCCTTAACCAACTGGAACGCAAATGTGACTGGTTTGCTAGTCACCACTTTTCTTTAATCATTTTTATTGAGTATAATTTACATACCATAAAACTCACCTCTTGTAAAGATACACTTTGATGATTTTTAATAAATTTCCATAGTTGTGCAGCCACAACCACAATCCAGTTTTAGGATACTTTCATCACCCCAGCTGGACATCCTCAGTCCATAAACCCCACCTCAGCACTGGAGTTGGCTGCCAAGTCATAAATCCTCGATTCTCCAAATTTCAGAATCCTGAAGGATTTGTCTTTCTTATCTGATATGTCTCAGTAGCAAGACATTTAGGATACAGATCCCTCCCTTCCTGGATATTTGTCTTCAGTTGCCACCACAATCTCTTCAACAAGTCCTCTGGCTACCCCTGGGGTAATTTTTTCTTCAGCTGGTTATCAACATAATCTGATGCCTGAGACTACTGAAAGTCACCCTCTTTCTTAAATCGATTTATTTTTTCAAAATTAGAAACTGTGACCAGATTGTGGAATACACAAACACAGCCCAATATTCTTCTACTTGGCTTTTTTTTACTTGACTATTTTTAATAAGTGACTCGAGCCTTCAGAGTTATTCTCCTATAACAGAACATAGCAAGTTCTTTTAACTAGCACCAGCCCAAACACAGAAAACATCTTAATTATAAAAACTGCTATTTACTGACTTCTTCCAACATGCCAGGCATAGTGCTAAGCCTATTAAACACCTTACCTCACAAAACGCTCAACACTCCAAAAAATTACTATTATCCTCACTTTACACATTAGGCAAATGTGGTTGAGACTTGAACTTTTTTTATCCATAGTCAGGAAGTGGCAGAATGATTTGACTCTGAAGGTCTTGTGAAGAACACTAAGAAAATAATTCTTCTGCAATTTAAATACTTAGAAGCTTAGACAACTAATGATTACATTCAGTGGATTATAATCCATCTATGTCCTATAAAACATTTCTAAATAGGCCCACTTAGGACCCAACTGCAGGTTCTGCCAATCTGTTCTTTGCAGAAACTGAGTGTAGGGCAATGTTAGCACCCCATCATTTCTGGCCCCTGGTTGAGAACATCTACCCTTCCCTAGAAACAATAATACAGGCTCAGAGTTCCCTCTAGAGCATAGGAAATAGCACTGACTATATGGCATATCCCACTTTACAGGTTATATCATTAGAGCCAACAGCCACTTGACAATCCATCTGGATGTCCTCACAGGCACTCACAGGTCACCGAGCCAGAACTAAACTCTTGATCTTCCCAAATCCATGCTCTATGGGCTCTTCACATTCAACTGCAGCACCTTTATCCACCTAAACTAGAAAACTAGGAGTCATCTTTGCCCTGATCCCTCAAATATACTGGCCCTCCCCAGGATCACTGGCAAGAGTCTAAGTCACTTCAAACACTTAAATACCTATCATGGCAAAGTACACGTGATCTGGAACAAAGGAATCTATAAATATGCAGAGAACTGCTCCACATTTCTTTAAAGGCAAATATATAGCCAATTTCTCTAACACAATTTAACCTTTATCACCAGAGTTATGATAGTATTAAAATACATGGAACTGTTACATGTCATTCTTCACATGCTTATCATGGAATATAAATTGAAAATACTGTGTCAATTTTGATAGCAATCTTTTAAATACATCTACCTACACCAATGGAAAAATATTTTTCTCTAAGGTTTATACTTTTTGAGAGTTCTACCTTTTATTTTTAAACCACAAACCTACCAGCCCAAGCCTAAGCTGCTAATAACCAACTCACCTCAATTTCCTTAATCAACAAAACCATCCTGGAAATGGAACGCCTGAAGAGCTTTCCAACGAGTCCATGTTTAGTGCACATAAAAACTTGGGGAAAATTTTTGAAACACGATGAAAATGAGACCCTGAAACTCCTCAGCAGTGGTGGGGGTAAGGAGTAGAGAGAAGAAATAGAAGTTGCCTGCTCAGGTCAAGTTACAATTTTCTACAAGTGCACATAACTGGGCAGAGAGTCCATGTTCTCAAATTGGATTGTGCATATTAATTTTATGTTGTAAGTATCCCCTGAACATATCATTTCCTCCTCGACTTCACGGTAATAAGAAAAACCCATCCTACTCCAGCCTATTATCAGCTCTCAAATGGACATGGCCTCATTTGCCTTCCTGTTCCCCTTCTCGCCCAGTCTCTAACCCATTTTGCACACAAAGAGATCCTTTTCAAACACAGATTGGATCATGTCACTCTCCCCCTTAAAAAATCTTCCAAGGGCTT